CCCGAGCCTGCCGCCCCGGCTCCCTGCCTGGGGAGAGAGCCGGCTGCAGGCCAGGAGCGGGCCCGCCCGCCCGCGGCTCCGGCTGTCCCGACCCCGGGGAGCTCAGCGGCGGGTGGGGGGAGTTCGAAGGCTTCCAGGAATCTGCAGCCAGAGCCCAGCAATTCTCTCTGGCCCTTGAACTCCTGGCGAGACCCACAGAACCTCAGCCACCGAGAACCTCTTCCAGTTCTCACCAGCTGCACCGGGGTGGACCCTGGGCGGCAGGAAGTGCTGCCCGCCCATCTGCAGAGGTATTTCTGTGGTGCTCACCACCATGTTGAGTGGGAGGTGTTTTGCACACCCAAAGGATGGAGAACTTTGTATAGGCTTGTGTGCTGAGGGGGTGGGGCTCCTAGCCTTGGAGGGTTGCCTTCCCCCTCGGCCTTCCTCTCTGGCTATGTGGCTGGCCCTCTTGCCCTCCAGAGGCCAGGGAATGGAGCGTCGGTAGGAGAGGCTGCAAAAATTGATCCTGCCAAAGCCCGGTGGAAGCCCCCAGAGCAGGGCCCTGCTGTCTGTGCCTCCCAGGCCTGTGCTTGGCCACCCCCATTTAAGCCACTTGCAGAACCTTTGAATTTGGAGCCTGCAGATTTAGAAAGTTCCACATTATGAAAGTTACAAGCAAGTGGGTAATAAACTGAGTAATGCTGGCCCTGCCCCTCGCCCTGCGTGCCTCAGAACTGACCCCCCCCCGCAGAACTGACCCCCCCCCCCGTGACTGATCCTTGGTTTCTAGTTGACCTCTTCCCTCCATTGCTCCTTTTTCTCTTCCATACGAACTCAGATGGTTCATCCTAAACACCAGAGACCAAAAGATAAAACCAGGAAGGAAAAGATAAAAACAGTGACTCCATCACTAGTGGTGCAGATGGACTGCTCTCTAAACCCATTTCCCTGCCTGGCACTGGTGGCTCATGTCTGTAATCCTAGCTGTTTAGGAGGCTGAAACCTGAAGATTGTGGTTGAAGCCAGCCCAGGCAGGAAATGCCATGAGACTCTTATCTCCAGCTAACTACCCAAAGCTAAAGTAGAGCTGTGGCTCAAAGTGGTAAAGCACTAGCCTTAAGCACTAAAGCTCAGGGACAGACACCAGATCCGAGTCCAAGCCTTAGGACCAGCATGTACACCTCGTGCACACGCGCGCGCGCACATCCACACACACACACACACACACGTTATAAACCCATTTCCCTGGACCTCTAAGGTCCCAGTACATTCAGCTCTGCTGTAACATTTGTTTGAAAGCAAGACTTTCTTCTAATGTGGTAGGCACACTAGGGAACATTCAAGCATAAAGGGAACTTTACATGAAACACTTAAGTGAATATAGAAAACTACAGTCAGCTGAGCGGGGCTTGTTGACTCCAGATAGCTCACACCTGACCAGTCAGGTGCCCAGGTTTGCCACCCTGTCACACCTGGTATCCCCATACTGCCCAGTTGAGACCCTCAGGGCCTTTTCAGGGTGGAGTGTGCCCCCACTGCCATCCAGAGAACATGGAAGGGCCTGGTGTAGAGGTCACCCTTGTTGTTGCCAACCACGCTTGAGGTATGCCCTTGCTGGCCCAAGAACCCTGTGGTTTCCACTGCATGCTTTCACATGGCCAAGGGCCTTAGGGAAGGGCTAATAGGGTGAGAGTAGAGCTGATGGTACAATATCTGTACTTCATTTTTACCAAAGTCCATGGCCTGGAATAAGCCAATGCCTGCATTTCTTCTAACTTTTGAATATCCTTTTTTTTTTCCAGCCCATTCTCAGTTATGAGAATGTTTTTAGGTCTGCTTTTCAAGAAGTCCCAGTGGAGCAGGCAACGGAAGACATTTCTACCTTAGACCATTTCTTAGGAAAAAACAGTGAAGAGAATCCTGACCTCACATCTGTGCACAAACTGTGGTAATGACCATCCTCGGGGCAGCTCTGCATTTGTGCTGCTGTTTGAGGCTCTGGGTCCCTCTTGGAGAGTTCAGTGCTCCTGAACCGTCTGTGGGGGTGCAGGTGGATGGTGGGGGTGCAGGTGGATGCTGCTGCGGTGGAGGGGGGCGCCCTCCGGGCTTGGGTTCTGGAAGCCTCAAAAACCTCGGCCCTGAGCCAGTTACCTCATGGGATCAGCCCTGTGTGCGCTCCCCACACGGCCTGTAAGGATGAAGGTTCTCAGGGCCAATCAGCCACACTCTGTCATCCTGTCCTGTCCTGTTGATGGCAGCATCAACAGGAACAGTGCTGGGTGCTTTGTGTTGTGAAAGCAGCTGAGACGAGCTGGCCTGTGGGTCTGAGGAGGAAGAAGGCAGGGCGTATGGGTGTAGGGGCGTATGGGCTCCTGTGCCCTTTGGAGGATGCAGAGTGTGCTGCAGGGTCTCCAGGTCTGAGCAGGTCTTTAGAGCTCATAGATGGGCCATCCTGGCCTCCGGCTGCCCGCTGTGACTCCTAATGGGGGCCAAGCCGGTGAGTTTGCAGTTCACCCTGTGCCCTCTGTGTGGTACTCCTGCAAAGTTTGGTCTCAGGGCAGCCTCTGCAGGCCAGTAGGGCTGGGATGGCATGCTGTCATCAGGCTTGGCAGGCTGGGCTGTTTGGATGGAGAGGGTGTGGTTGTGGTTCTGAGACCCTCCAGTTTCATCTGCCTTGTGGTGGTTCGACACCCATTTCACTCCCCTCCCCCACGTCCTGGCCCAGCGTCAAGATACACCCCTCAGTCCCCACAGCACGCACTAATATTGGCTATAATAGATGGCTTCTAGTGCTAATTCTCCAGCTTTGTGGGCCTCTGTCTATGGCTAGCATAGCTTAGGCACCGAGTAAACGAAAGCAGCAAAGCACCTGGCTTTTCCTGGAGAAGACGCATAGGCAGCAGCTGCCGCTGTCAGGAATGATGCGTACGTGGATGAGCAGCGGATGGTGCCAGGGCCACGCCTGCTGAGGCCACGTAATGGCTGTGTCTGTTTTCCAGCTGCGATTCAAGGAGACTCTGGAGAGCTCTTCAGAGCTCCATCTCCATGTCCGCCTCCCAGTGCCTGTGGAGGGGCTCCCGCTGCCAGGAGAATCTCCTCCTCCTCCTCGGCATAGATGCTGCTCAGGTGAGGTGGGCTTGGGCGGAGACTCGGCTGTGGCTATGGCCCACTCAGCAGCTTCTGTTCTGGGACAGGCTGGGGGGTGGACCCTCTGCCTGCCTCAGGCCCGCAGAAACCACCGTTCCCGGTGACTTTCTAGAAGGTGGCCATGATAGGCGAGGCAGCAGCAAGGCAAGCGTGCTGTGGGCGCCGTCTGCTCACACCTGTGCAAGGCTCCCGCTGGTATCTACGAGGAGCAGCTGTGGAGATGTGGGTGGGTGTGGTGGGTAGGGAAAAAGGTACTGCGTATGGGCACGTATGCCAGGAAGTTCAGAGCCTGTGGGCAGGATGGGACAGTAGAGGCAGATGGAGAGATGAGCTGGGCACCTGCCGGGTAGGCGTACTGCCCGCAGCCCTGTAGGCTGTCCGGGTACATCAGCAGCGCAGGGTAGATGGTGCGTGGAGGGCACCCAGGGAGCACTGACGGGGCCAGCGGTGCGTGGCCAGGAAGTCTGGCACACTGGAGGGAGCTGCGTCAGCAGTGCAGGGGTGGTGGACCCCAAGAGTGCGGTAGGTGGCCTCATAGACACGTTGGGAGCCCTGATGCCAGCCAAGCGCAAGGCAGAGGGGCAGTGGGGAGAGGGTCAGGAGCCCAAGGCTCCCGTCGGGCCGCGCACCGTAGCATGAAGCCGCCCGTCGGTGACCAGTATGACAAAGATCTTTCCCATTCTTCAGTATCGTGGCGAGCATTACACACAGAGGGGCTGGCCCGGCCGTAGTGTAGTCCTGGTGAAGCAGTTGCCAAGTCCCCCTCCCCACTGGCTTTCAGGAAGTGAGCAGCAGGCGGAGGAGCAGAGAGGACCGTGGTGATGCCAGGGCAGGAAAGACCACCAGGAGGCTAGGAAGTGGGGGTCCCGGGTGGGAGGCTTATCCTGGAGGCAGCTGAGAAGACATCTCTGGGCATTTTCTGTTGCTATAACACAATACTCGAGATGGGTGAGTTATAGTCTGGCTCACGGTGGTGGAGGCTGGAGATGCGAGCGCACGGCCCTGGCACATGATGAGGCCTACTTACCGTGTCCTAAGCGGGCATCCCAGGGCCGGCGGGGCACAGAATGCCACGCCCGGCCTCTCCTCACTAAGCCACTAGTACCACCCCAGGAACCCACTCTCATGACTACCTCTAGTCCTGGTCACTTCCAGAAGGCCCTGCCTCTAAACCTGTCAGCATGTGAACTCAGCTTCTCAGCACATTCAGACCACAGCAGACAGGCTGAGGGGTGCTGGGGCTCTGGGAGTCCGTGGGCCTCTCTTGAAGAGTGGGTTTACCTACTGTCCAGAATTAGGAGAACATCGTGACGTGTGACAGAGGTTTGTTTCCTCAGAGTCTTTCTGGAGGCCAGGGTCCCATTCTAGACGGCTCAGACGTGAGTGAGCCTGAAGACAGGCTGGCGGGCAGCACCTTCCAGCCGCAGCCCTGCAAAGCCCTGATCCAGACCAAGGTGAGAGCGTCCAGAGAGGCTTGGGGAAGTCTTGGAGTCCAGATTTTTTCCTTTAACTCTTATGGGCTTGGGAAAAGTGAACTTGGCCATAGTCTAGGACCAACATGCATGGCAGGACTGCTGCTTCAGGGTGCTAAGGACCGCAGAAAACCCCTGGGCGATGAGAGGGTCTGGTGAGGAGGTGGGGCGGGGTGAGGGGCTGTGCCTGAACCCTGGCACTGAGAGTCCCTTCTTAAGGACCACAGTGCAGGGGGGCAGGCAGGCTGAGCAGAGACGGGCTCATTCTGCAGCCTTCTCTGATCATGAAGGAGGTCGTCTACCTGGGACAGGATCTCATACCCACCTTGCCCAGGCTTAGCATGGACGCTGGGAGACCAGAGGTGTGGCCGGTGTGGCCAGGGATCTGCTCTGCAGAGGCTGTGGTAGAGGAGGGGTGGGGTGCAACCTGGGGGAAGGCCCCTGGAGCCATGCCTTATGCCAGAACCAGGACAGAGCTGGGCCAGGGGAGGCAACACCTAAGGGCTTGTTCTAACGAGTGATGGCACTGCCCAGCTGACAGCCACAGCCTGGATGGCTGACACGTGGTGATGGTGTGGGCTCTCAGAAGGCCCTGTCATGACGGCACAGTGGGCCTGGAGATGGACATGGGGCCTCCCTGAAGACTGTCTCCCTCTGGTCATCCTAGTGCAGAAGGCAGGCCAGAGGCCTGGAGGATGGCAGTGCCACTGTCAGGCTGCGGGTGAGAGCAGAGGCTCCGTGAGAAGAGGCCAGGGGCAGGGGGCGTCCCGGCAGCCTCAGGCCTGGGGCATTGCCATCCGGGGTGGTTCTCAGACTGAATGCTGAGTGGCACAGGGCAGGCAGGACACACATCTGAGGGGCGTTGCTTGTCTCGTGTACTTGGCCTGACCGCCACCGCCTCTTAGCTCTCAGGGACAGCAGGACGCAGACGGGGAAGTCTCATCACCTACAGCTTGTTTCTGAAGACGCCCCCCTCAGGGACAAGCAGCACCCCACAGTGCCACAGAAGATTTTCTCTCCACGCAACTTGAAAGTGGCGTTCTTTAATAGTGACATCTGCTGTAACGGAGCACTTTTTATCTTTATGAAGCTTTTTACATTTTCTTACTGGCTTGGTTTGGTACTAGAAATCAAGAACTGTTTTGTGGAGCTGCTTCCCAAATTCACACGTCTCCTTGGACCTGTCATAGTCCACCCAGACTGATAAGGGTGTGTGGGAGGTATGCCTTTCGGAGAGCCAGTCCACAAGCAGAGGGGCAGGGCTCTGTGGCGCACTGCACACTGCAGGCCCAGCCCACAGACACGCTGAGGCCACCAGGATTGCTGCCTGAGCGCACCCAGGTGGAGCCCCCGGGTGTGCCGCTGCCCGGAGTCAGTGAGCCCCCCTACCTGGCCCCAGACCCAGGGCTCATGAGGACAGGCCTTCCTCTGCGTGGACAGGGAGATGGCAGGCTGGCCTGGGCAGCGTCTGGTGGAGGCGGCTCTGCAGGGTCATCTGCCAAGGCCACTTTCTCCAGGCAGCCGAGTTTTACAGTTATGAAATAAAAAGGCCTGGATAATAAGCCTGTGTTCTGTTACCTTGGCTCTGCAGGGGCTGTTGTCCACATCTTGTCCCAAAGGGAGGCCTGAGGTGTGAACCGACAGAGGCCATGCCGGGGATGCGGTGGTTTGGGTGGATGCCCCTGGCATGGGGCCAACCTGTCCAGTGCTGCTGGCAGGACATGTGCAGTGTGAAGGGGAAAGAAAGGACAGCTGTGTGTCTCAGTCAGTCGGCATCAGCCACCCAGGGCTGTGCCATCACCACCATGTAGCCTGAAGCCACAAGGAAAGCTGCCTTCAATCTTCACTTTCAACCAGAAGACAACGTGCAGCGACACACATCAAGAGGCTGTAGTTGAAACCAGGCTGGGAAGAAGGGTGTGTGAGGCCATTTCATAAATGGTGTGTAAGGAACTCAAGTGCAAGAATGTAACCCAGTTGGAAAATCAGGTCTAAAGTCAATTCATTTGTGTGCATAGATTTTAATACGCTAAGCTTGGCAAGAGGTGACGGAAAAGCAGTCCCCTACCACTGTGAACTACAGCGGCAGTAAGGACTTTCCACGTTCCAGCCTAAGACCTTAGGAGAGCTGCATCCAGGAACCGGGACTTGGGGACCAGCTGCATAAGCTCAACCCTCAGCAATGGCCACAGTGCCAACCCAGAAGGTTCTTTGCCCGTGGCAGACCAGAAGATTATACCTGGCTGCAGGCTGGGGCTGGGCTGATGCTGACTCTCTCTGGGCACCCCAGGACTATTCTCCCCAGCAAACACCCCAAAGCCGCAAGCTTCAAGTCTCACTGCAAAGTCCTACACTTTCCAGTGCAGCTACTCCTAATACCTAGAATAGATACCAAAACACCCACAAACATAGCTTTACCATGCATCCTACACCCTCTGAGCTAGCTTCCATGGGGGAAACACTCAAGGTTAGGAGGGCCATCTGGGATCTGGGACTGTGCTCATCCACTGCCTCCCCCGTGGCACTGCCCAGAGCCCTGGCACACCAGCCCCTGGCGAGCCCAAGGCCAAGGCCATCAGGCCCTGGGGAGGCAGGGCCCGTCCAGGTAGAGGAGCCCCGTGAGCTCCCAGAAGCAGTCATCCCTGGCACAGCACAGCACGGCACAGCGGAACTCGTCGACCTCTACAAGGCATCGGATAAGGCTGGAAGAAGAGCCTGTAGACCATTCACAACCATCGCGTTTTGTTTGCTGGATCTTTTTTTTAAAAAATAAAGTGAGGTTTACATTGTTGAGATAAAAAATGGTCACATGCACAAAAAAGCCATAGACCTCTCAGGCTCTGGAGGAAGTGAGTCATGAAGCACCTGTCTGGGTGGAGGCAGCGTCTGACTCCCAGCGGGCACAGGGGCCACACACATGCTAGTGATGCTCGGGTCAGATTTAAACTGAGTGTCACAGAGCACTCACCTTTGAACTCCCCACGCTGGAGCTGGCACCCTCCAGGCCTCCTCCCACCTGCCTCACCTGCAGGCCAGCTGGCAAGCAGACAGGAAGGCCCCCCACCCCTGCACAAGACCCAACGAGACTAGAACACAACCACCCAAGACTCAGTCCTTCAAGGTCAACTGATGCCATGATTTGCAGACATCTGACCTCTACCCTCAGTGGCACTTACATAAATAGGCATAAATAAAACTGAAGTCTAGGAGGAAGACCCACGCTGCACTCTGCTGGAATGCAGGACTGCAAGGGGGAATGGGTCACAAGCACAGCTCAAGTCCAACACCCCAACATTTCTGTGGCTGCCTCTGAGTGCAGTGAAGCCCACCGAAAAATCCCAGTCTAATTTAACCTGTAAAAACTGAAACACATCCACTACAATGGCTTAGGCTATAAAAGTTTCTAATGTAGCAGCAGAGGACATTTGTAGAAAAAATATACTTTTAAGAAAATAGCTGAAAAAATCTACAGGGATAAAATAGAAAAAGTTTAAAAAGATGTTTTAAAAAAATATTGCCTGAAACACGACAATTTCACAGGTTCACTATCTAAGTGTCCACAGCTTGGACGCCTGCCGTCCTCCACCATGGCTGCAGCCCAGAGATGGGGGCGCGGGGTGGGGGATGGGCCCAGGGCTGTGGTCTGCGAGGCAGTCTCTGCCCTGGCCCCCCAGGAGCAGGCCAGCCTGGAGATTCAGAAACCCTCCCTAGGCCCATGCTCTCTCTGAGATGCTCTGAGCCTGTGGCCATGTCCCTGGCCTGCAGGGGCCTCTCAAGTCTCTACCAGGATCTCTACCACGTGGTCCAGCTCGGCCAGGTCCGACTTGCAGCCCGAGGAGGGAGGAGAAGGGGCCGTGGTGAAGCCCTCAAGCCCGCCGCACAGGCCTGGCTTGGAGCCGCTCACCACGCCCGTCAGCACGGTGTCCAGGTCGTAGTAGGAGCTCTCTACGTCAGACAACAGCTCCTCCATGGAACCAGGGGGTTTGCTTTCCAGGGTCTCAAATATCTGATCCAGTGACTTGGAGAAGCTCGCCCTGCTTTCCCGAGGGCTGTCCATCTCCCAGAGGCCGCTCTCAGGGTCCCGCAGCTCTTGTGCCAAGCTGACTGTGCAAAGTCCGGGAGCTGGGGTCTGGGAGGGGCTCTCTCCGGATTCAGGAACAGCCTGCTCCCCGTGGGGGCCCCGCGCTGTGCGGCACAGGACCTCTGTGGACACCAGGCGGTCCAGCGGTGCCCGCCCCGCCCCCTGGGGTGCCCCAGGGTGCCACACACCATCTCGGCTCATCTCCTCCTGGATCTGACGGACCGTGTTGGCGATGAGGACAGAGCGGCAGAGGTTGGGCTCCACCAGCATGTGGCAGAGCTGCAGCTTGACCAGGGACATGTCCAGGAGCGACTGCCGCTGTAGGCTGTAGGACGGAACAGTGCCAAAGCCCTCTGTGACCTCCTCCTGGTCACACTTCCTCTTCAGCCCTCGTGCAAACATCGTGCTGTGGAAACCAAAGAAGAGCCCGTTCAGCACCCAGGCAGGGTTCTGACCGCCAGAAAGAGAAGGGAGGGGCATGTGCACGAAAGAAACCCAGTCAGTCAACCTGCCGGAGTTATCTAGAGGTAGGGGAGGATAAGGGAGCAGGGAGGGTGGGTCTGACCAGAGCACACTGTACACATGTATGGAGGTCACAGTGCAGCTATTACATGGGGGGGCGGGGGTTGCAACAGCACACAGGCACCGGACACCGTCGTGAGGTGACCTGGCCACGGCTAGTTCCAAGCGGGAGCAGCTTTCATCATCACAGCAAGGTGTGTAAGGCGTCTGTGAGGGAAGCGGGGCATGGCAGCGGCGTGTGGGGGCGCGGGGGCTGCTGCTACTTACGGACCAGCGACAGTCACCTAACGTGTTTCTGAAGTTAGCCCTCTCCCCGGGAGCTTGCTAACAAAGGCACCTCTGAAGCACACACGCACAGGGGGCCCAGAATCCGCCCCCAGTGGGCGGCTGCTGCCTGGTTCTGTGGCACTACCCTCAGAAGAGACAAGGTCCTGGCAGTGTGCTGTGACTGTGGGCAGCCGGATGCAGCAGAACCAGGTCTTGACCGAGCCCTTAGACTTCCCCAGTATACACCATCTGCCTGGCCGCATTCTGCCCAACCCGGGCCACCCTCCGGCTGCGCAGGACTGGGGGCCAGTCAGGACTAGCCTTTCAGGAATGCAGTTTGTTACTCCATGTGCACGGCATTTCTCTCATCTAACGTGTGCAATATACGCTAAACAGTTTAATTTCAAATTATTTAAAAATTAAGTAATTCACTGAGTCACAGAAATCTAAATATGCCAACATTAGGACCTGAATGGGCCCCGTGGGCTGTGTGGCCGGGGGAGCTGGGATGTGGGTGTGATGTCTCTCACAACCTGGGCACCTTCTGCAGGTCATTCCTGCTGACTCTGCCCCAGACTAAACAGAGGCTCCCTCCCCGCTCTTCTCAGTGTGTCCACCGCCTCTGTGTGCAGCATCTTCAATTCTATACAATTAAGGGACCTCTGAGATTGATCACAAGAAGACAAACACAGCAGGCGCGCTCAGAGCGCTCTATTCCTCAACACCCCAAGGCGGAGACAGTCCCTCCTGCAGGGAAGGGCTGAGAAATAGGCCTTGCCATCTCATGAAGTCCTTCTAAGCAGCAGACAGGCAGAACTGGTGACATGCAGGGACCCAGGGAAAGCAGCCTGAAGAGGCCACACCCATGCGCCTCACCTCCTTAACGCTAGGGCTGCATGCAGCCCTCGTGGCCGGGTAGGGCCATCTCTGGAGAGGGAACACATGTGTGGGTGAGTGTGCTGGTCACAGAGCCCCTCAGGGAGATGCCACCGGTGGGGTGGGGACAGACTCTACACAGTCGTTCTCACATTTCTTCCTGTGGGTCCATAACCATCTCAGCTTATTTTCCCTACGAGATGGTTTCTCTAGAGCAGCAAGTAGGGGTGATGTTCACAAAGCCCCTCCAGCCATGGACCTGCTAGCTTACGACCTGTCTCAAGCACGCGCGCGCGCATGCGTGTGTGCGTGTGTGTCCTGGGGCTTGAAGTCAGGAATATCTCAGCCAGATGCCAGTGGCTCACACCTGTAATCCTAGGTACTCAGAAAGAAAGAGATCTACGGTTTGCTGTTCAAAGCCAGCCAGGGCAGGAAAGTCTGTGAGACTTTACCACCAACAGAACAGAAGGAGAGCTGTGGCTCAAGTGGTAGAGCACTAGCCTTGAGTGGAAAAGCCAGTGACAGCGCCCCAGGGCCAGTG